ATCAGGTGTCTGCAGTCCCTTTGGCTCGAGGCCCGTTCATCCCCCCTTGATGCTCAGAGAGGAGCTGCCAGATCACACGAGAGGAAAGCGCAAGCTGGGAGAAGCTGGGATGCGTTTATGTAGATCACCGTCGCAGTTGGTGATTGATTGTTGCCTTGGTCCCTGCAACAACAGTGATCAGTTGCGCAGGCATACTGTCTACTACTCTTATGCCAAATGTCACTCCAAAGTAGATAAGAAGGCGCAGAGAAAGTATTGACGAAACGTTCGAAATTAACTGATCATCTGGAAGAGTTAGGTGTTGCTGATTGGCATGCGCCAAATTGGTACATGAACTGATCTAATGCACGCCCCAGTAAATAACAGCTTACTTATTTAAGAATCATGTACATGCAGTATACTATTATAGCCATTTGACAATTGATGGGCAGTAGTATATGTTGACACCGAAATAACTGCGAACCATAGGTGTTTTCTCCTAAACCCAATGCCTCACTCCGGGTGCATTCGCCTTTTACCGGTCGTGACAGGAGCTTTTATCGCTGATAGTGCAAGTTCGTCGTGTGCTGGATTCCATTTTATGTGTTACATTCATGATCAAGAGAGAAGCGACCTTTGCAGACTCTGTTCTAAGCAGTCAGTTGATATGGCTCAGGTTGATATGTCAGAGATGCCGTTGGTCCAATGGTTTGGTTTAACATACACACGAAATGTTACCGCGTACAACCGTTTGGCATGTGTAGTTCAGCACAACGGTGATTATACATACTTCTTGTGGTTGCTTAATACAGAACTCTCAAGTATGGGAATCGACACGTCATACTGAAGACCGCAGTATGACGGTATGTTGTTGTACATAACTTCTGAAAGTTCTGGATTTAGTATATTGTTTATCTATCTACCCCACATCGACGGGATACCCGGCTAACATGCCCGCGCCTTGCACCTAAGGGAGGGAGGCGACATAGAACCGTATCTAGTCGGAGTGAGGGCACCCCCCAGCACGTTTGGGTGCCTCTGGGGACATAGTAGATGGAAGGTTTATTACGGTGAACACACGATCTAGAAATCGTACGATCACGCTTGTCGCGCGATGAAAACGTGGATCATTGGGTCGTCGTATTACGATTATAGGTGACGGCGTACCGTCCCCGCCATACCGATTGAAATTGCGACATCTCCGGCTTTGAGCTACCTTTCCAACAATGCCCAATGTTGCTTGCCATATTGACTGTATTCGTATGACGATAGTCTGGTATGGTACTTCTGGTGTGGCACCTTCGGTGGTGCACCTGTGACTGCTTCTTAGCCATAACACGCATGCATTAAACGACAACCCTGGCTTACCACAACGCACTTACCGCGTGTACCAAACACAGAGGCATCCGATAGTGGACACGGCCCGCGACTTAATACGCGATACTTCTCCCGGCGCGATCGGGGCATACAAGGCTTCACGGCAGTCGATAGATGATTCATAAAATGGTAGCGACGAATTAACTGTACAAGTCAGGTCGATCCTTTCAAAGTCCGGTGCCCCCGACAGGACTCGAACCTGTGACCTATCGCTCACTCGTGCGATCGCTCTATTCCACTGAGCTACAGAAGCAACTTGGTGCTCTGAAGCGCACTCAATGGCATCCGTGTACAATGTGCGGGGAATCGAATTGCGCGATGACATATGCGTCATCGACTTCATCATCGATGGCACGTCGCGCGATTGCATTATTATGCGATCTGTGACTGCCCGCATGCCACGATATTCTACAGATTTGTCGTATATTATATCATGACGACCGTCCGTGTCGCGAGCCTCGAAGACTGATAATACTCACATTATGACATGCGAATTTAACAATAACTCTGGCTTGCCACATCGCACTTACCGCGTGTACCACGCAAACGCAGAGGTTTGTGCGCCACGTTGTCAAGGCTTCTCAAAAGTAAATAAATGAATAAATATATTCACCTTATTTAATAACTGACTACTGTATCCAAGTACACACCACGTATTAACCTACGTGGCTCCTACGTGGCATGCCTCGCACCCCCATCCGTGAGATGTTACTATTCATTTTCTACATTTTTGGGAAGTCAAAAGTGAACTCAACCTTGGTCCACCCCTTCAGACGGTGCTCCACATAGTCAACTGGCACCTTCTTATTGTTGTCCCGCCGGGAGCCCACCCAGCATTTCTCCGGCTGATCTGCATGTTGTAACCCACCCCAACAAAAATGACAGAGCTTGCGCGGCGTGCTTCTCCCGTCCATCCACTGGTGCAAAGCACTCTAGACGTGTCGACGCTCTAGGAAAAGATCGTCACTTCTCTGAATGGATTTTCGAATATGCTCTTCATCAGATCGTTTACAGGCACTTCAACAATGTCTGTGAGAACGAAAAAAACGGAGTCACCAATCAGATTTGCAGAATAATAATTTAAAAAAACCCCATCGCATTCATCACCACACTTTGGCATCGTCGCGCCACTAACTCAGTCAGCCCGATTCGCACCCCGTCACGAAAAAAGTTCATAACAAAGTAGAACCGCAGTGGTTGGTCGTGGTGCGAGAGGGTAGACAAGGTGGTCATAAGATGTGCGCGGGTGGTCGTGATGCGGGGTGAGGGCTCCGTTGGATGCCGGGGTGGGGGCCAATACCGGTTGCAGTGGGTTGTCAGTGGTGATCACGGGGAAGCTAGATGCAGGCGGCGGCGTCACGGTGGGAGGATGCAGAGGAGGCACCCCGTTCGAGGCATGCCCGATCCTGAGAGGGTTGCTCTGCACCAATCACAATTATGATGTCAACAATCGATGCTGTATGAGGTTGGCTGGGCATGCTAGGCTAATTCAAGATTAACACGAACTGGAAGTCGCAGGTGCGAAGGCAGGGTCCAGTGAAATTTCCAATATATGCATCGTCGGCGGCTGACCAGAGCGGGTGACCGGAGGGGAAGGTCGGATGAACGACATGGCACGGTTAGGAAGGCGAGCGCCCGGATGAGGCATGCGGGAGGTAGGGAGAGGGGACAACGTGTAGCACGGGCCTGCAGAAAGAATGCGAGTTGGCAGTGTTGAAAGGGCAATAATCTCAGGTAGCCCCCACCGCCGTTGAAAGGTGCCTGCGAAACTTTGGTGGGGGGCTTATTTTTCTTCTTCTTGTGGGTCTTTGCAGGGCACACTGGGACCTGCGGAACGGTACAGTGCGGCACCGACTACGGTAGAGTGTCACATCCTCGTCCCGTGGATGTTACAGTGCAGCACTGACTGCAATTCGCCTTACGGTGCTGCACCCATTACCGTCCACGTTAAGGTACCGCATCGACCCCCGTCCGCGGTACAGTTTACAGTGCAGCATCGACTCCCGTTAACCGCATGGCGCCGCACGGACTGCTGTTTATGTCCACGGTCCCGTACGACTGCCATTTACCTGACTGTGCCGCACCGACTACCATTCGCAGCACGTCGCCGCACTGACTGCCTTTTCCGGCGCTGCACCGGCTACCGTTCACGGTACGTCAACCCAATGACTACCATAACGTGATGGCGCCGCCCCGCCTCCCTTTTACGGAAAATCTCGACCCGGAATCGGCCGGCATGTGGCCTTACGCTGAGGGTTGTGGCCGCGGTTTGGCGGAAGGGGTGTTCTCTATGCACACGCACCCTCTGCCCCCGCTCCCGACCTATCCCCTGCGAAATTCCACATATTATATTTTTATTTATTTGTCAATCGGTTTATAGACCCCCCCCCCTTGAGAATATGTCCCCCCTGCCATAACCGATTTTTAAATGCATATGGCACCGAGCTGTCTGATGGAAATCCTGATAGAGTGATACAATCAACAGCAATATGAACTACAGGCTGCTGAAGGAACACTGGCGGCGGATGAAATTACCAAGAGTGAGGATTGACGGCTTACGCCGATAAGGTATTTGGTTTGGGACGTGTCACAGTGTATCGTCATCGCGTCACACTGTGACAGCCAAAGCTACAGTGAGAGACTGAGGAATACGAGCAGTTACCACTATAGTAACACGACTATAGTAATAGTCTGTATTCCCATGACTGTCGAAGATTGCGCCGCCTTTGCATTTTCCCGCCTTTAGCATTTTATGTCGGATCAATACCAATTTTAATACACTTTCTGTGAAATCAATGCCATGTATATAATATTCGCACGTGGAACAGTCGATTCATGTTGTGGAACTCTGTGATCGAGGCACATATTGGGACACCGTTTGAAACATATTAGCCCAATATGTGTCAAAATGTCCCAATATTGTATGTGTCAAAGTGTCCCAATATGTGTCCAAGTGTCCCAATATGTGTCCGAGAGCCCCAATATGTGTCCAAGTGTCCCAATATGTGTCCAAGTGTCCCAATATGGGCCCATTTGCGTCACTCCCAAACGAACGGCAGAGACATTTTACGCATGCGGTGCACGTGCGCAGCACCCTCGACAGAGACACTTTTATAAGTCTATCTCTTTGTGCAGACACCAGACAGCGAGTGTTACTGATTGAATACTGAATTTCAACGTACACCCGTACGCTCTCTCGCCCGCAGTGCCCACCTGTCTGGCGAAACAAAGAGTAGTGCAATCATGTTATATTTCACAGGTGATCTTTGTATGCGTAATATTTTTTGCTATTATAAATTGCGAGTTTGCGGACAGTCTTATCGCGTGGAACGGTGCTGTATACAGCGGAATGTTGGAGTTCCAAGAAACCCAGAATTCCGTAGTCATACCCACATGAACGCTTCACCGACCCCGCAGCCTGATGTAGGGGTGACGGACGAGTTTCTCGAATTCATTGTGAAAAGATAGCACGTATAAGATATGAAGTATGCGAACGCTTTCCTCCTGCGTTGCGCATGCTCGCTTGCAAGCGAGCATGCTGTTAAGGGAAGCACCCTAGCGGAAAGGCGGTATGCGGTATTGCGGTGCTAACCATCCACTCCATAGTGCCCAATGCACGTTCGCTATGCATACGCGCGACATGTGCGTGATATGCTCTGCGCGTGCATCGTGCAGCCTGCGTGGCATGTGTTGAGTCCGCTGACTCACCAAAACGCCCAATTGCCCCCCTTCACTAGCCGCTTTCGAAAACTTCAGTCGGGCACGGATCTCGTCCGCGCCACACTGAATCTTAAGCCAAGACACATTAAACTGTGCCAAATTCGGTCGTGTTGAATAAACGGGGATATAGCGCAATCAAACTACGCTGCAAGGTGAAAAAATCACGTTGATGCCGTTTGGCAGTGACAGCGACAACGACAGATTCTATGGAAATAAAATCGGCGATGGCGGTCGAATTTGCCGTGTCATTAAAAAAGATAGAAATGCCTGATTAAATCACGGAGCTCTGCTATTTAGAAAATCGACGACGAGGGCGGATTAAGAATCGCGGTCTATCGCGACCATCGAGCGCTTAGGAAGGGGAGCTTAGGAATAAGGGGAAACGGGCAAGTTATCAGATTTGGGGCAACGGATCTTCCGATCTAAAGCTATAGCTCTATGACGGTCCGGTTTTTTTCACAGCCTTTAGTGTTGAATGGCGTTGTTGGGTGAAGTACAAATTGTAGTACATGTGAAAGTTCAAAGTATCGTGTTCTCATTCCGCGGCGAGCCGGCGGCGACAATGGTTTTCAAGGTACAATAAGTCGATGGCAGTTGGAAATAGCAAGGCACACATTTCTCGGTTTGGTACATCATTGGCACACACCCGCACATGTGAGCAAGACCGTTAAGGTACGGGTGTACCAAAAGAATACCAAACAAACACAAGTAAATGGCAAACTTTTTTGCAAATTCGCCCCAAAAAGTGAAAAAAAAACAACTTAGTCTCAAATTAAAGTGCGGAAGATTTTGAAGGAACTAGGCTTAAAAATGTGTGCTGCAACATTTTCTGTAGTGCGCAAAATAAAGATAAGTGTGCGAATGGGAGAAAAACTTCGAAAAACAGAAAATTCCTGAAGGAACTCAAGTCGTCAATCGATAGCGATTGTACGATTGGCATGGGCCCTGCGATCGCGGTTCACCCCCCGCCCCCCGCGCGATTGTTTGGATCACCGTTGGATTCGCGCTGGTTACGGAGTTCGATTTCAGGACATCGATGTGCTTGCGTTATACTTACAGGTGAGCCCTTTACTCGAAAAGTATTGGCCACTCCAAAGTCGCACGGGCGACACACGAATTATAGACGAAAATATGAATCGGACGGCACACTCGCGTTGCGTTGACTCGCACGCATTCAAGTCGGCATCACCACCAAGTTCGAAGTTTTCTGTTGTGGCAATCATCAAACAGTGAGAAAGAACTCCCAAGAATCATCACTGAAAACGGCTACAGTGTTCCGCGCCTGCCGTGCAGTATCGCACCTTTTGGTTGACTACGTTGCATATTTTCTATTGGCATATTAACCCTGCATGCATTTTGTATATTGTCCTGTTTTTCATTCTCTGCAGTGGCGGGTCTTAGTTGATGTTTTAATGGAGCTCTAGCTTCGCGGTTGATCATCTTGGTTTGGTTCTCAGCGTTTTCAGAGCATCGGGTGGGACTGGGTCGATAACAGGTCTGTGGGTATTTGGAATCTGGGGAGCAAAGTACTCC